TCTAGTGAGGTCACAAATAAGCTTTTTCTTTCCTTGGATCTTTAAATTGAGCTCATTCATGTGCCCTGTGATAGAGGGAAAAAAATGTAAATCATACTTGGATGTTTTCTATTTGTTGAATATTGGCAGGTGTTCTTTCATTTCAAGAAAATCTTGAAATTAGAGGGGTGCCTGGCTGGCGCATTCAGTGGAGAGTGCGACTCTTGATCTTGGGGTCGTGAATTTTGAGCCCCACATGGGTTGTAGAGATTACTTAAAAATAAAATCTTTAAAAAAAAGAGGGGTGCCTGGGTGGCTCAGTTGGTTGAGCAGCCGACTCTTGATTTTGGCTCAGGTCATGATCTCAGGGTTGTGGGATACAGCCCCATGTCAGGCTCCACGCTCAGCAGGGAGTCTGCTCAAGGATTTTCTTTCTTCCTCTCCCCCTACCCCCATGCACACATATGTTCTCTCTCTCTCTAAGTCTTTAAAAAAATTTTTTTTGAATTAGAATAAATAGTACAGTAAATCTTTGTAAAACTCTTTCATGACTCAAACTGAAGCAGTGAACATTGGCAAAGAACTTTTCTAACAATATTAAAGATCATTTAATTCATTATCATGAATTATGGTCATTAAATTCATTATCTTCTATTTTTTATAACAGTTTCATAAACTGGTGATGATTCATAGCATTTGTACATATATACTGAACAATTTTAATAACTGCATCCATGATACAGTCCATTTCAGAACACAGATATTTTCAATATGGATCACACAGTGAAATTAATAAGGGAAATCTAGTAAATCCAGATTTTGGGTCTCACATAGCTGGCCCATTGTCTTTTTTTTTTTTTTAAGATTTTATTTATTTGAGAGAGCATGCACAAGTAGGGGAGAGGAAGAAGCAGGCTCCCCGCTGAGCAGGGAGCCTGATGCAAGGCTCAATCCCAGGACCCTGGGACCATGACCTGAGCCAAAGGCAGATGCTTAACTGAAGGCAGACACTTAACTGACTGATCCACCCAGACTCCCCCATTGTCTGTCTTGATAGAAACTTTTTCCTATCTAGCTGAAAGTGACAGATGTAAAAGATTAAAAAATATAGTATCTACAACTTGAGATTGATTAGATGAAGACATTTCTTTGTAAATTTAGAAGTTGTTTGAGACAAAACATACCCAGAATGTTAGTCAGTCAGTATCTCTTGTGAAGCTCATTTAAAGCTCAAAATAAAAGTACTTGCAATTTTTCAAATGTTGAATAGATTGATCTTTAATATTCTTAGAAAAGTCTTTTATTCACTGACACTCCCTTGGTGGGTCAATTTAAGACATTTCATGTTTTGTTTTAATCGTTTCCTCAAATTTTAAAACCTAATTCCCTTAACTGAAATGATAATTACATTTTTTATCTTTCCATCTAAAAATGGTTCTCTTTGTTGAGCAAGAATCCCAGCCATTTTATGGTTGGCCAAAATTATAAGCTCAGATCCTATTTAATAATCACAGACTTTTTTTTGTTATATGTTTAATTCTAATTTCATTAGCTGTTTTATTTTTTGACTGTTGAGAGGCAACTTCTTATTAAATGAATATGCATTTGCTGAAGATGACTCTTGGTATTATCTTAAAACTTCTTTTTTTTAATTTATTCATTTATTTGACAGAGAGAGAGAGAGAGAGAGAGAGAGAGAGAGAGAGAGCACAAGTGGGGGGAGGGGAAGAGGGAGAAGCAGACTCCCCACTGAGCAGAGAGCCTGATGTGGGGCTAGATCGCAGGACCTTGAGATCAAGACCCGAGCTGAAGGCAGACACTTAACCAACTGAGCCACCCAGGCACACCTTAAAACTTCTTTTATACAACTTACTCATTTTTCTCTGCTATAGCAAATTGTATTGCCATCCTTTGTAAAATTTGTGACATACCTTCTCCACTTGATACTGCCTCGTTAGTGTGCCTTCATTTGAAAGTTAAAATTTTTTTCATTCTTAATTTTTTTTTTAAGATTTTATTTATTTATTTGACAGAGAGACACAGCGAGAGAGGGAACACAAGCAGGGGGAGTGGGAGAGGGAGAAGCAGGCTTCCCACAGAGCAGGGAGCCCGATGCGGGGCTTGATCCCAGGGTCATGACCTGAGCCAAAGGCAGCTGCTTAAGGACTGAGCCACCCAGGCACCCCTCATTCTTAATTTTTAAGCCAGAAAAATAATTTGCATTATAATTAAAATAAGCGTAGCAGCTTAACTACCAATTACTGTTTACATAGTTATCACTGTAACTCTGCTGTCTGCATAAAATATTCAGATAAACACATTGTAGTGCTACATTGTTGCATAGAAAAATAACCATCTGTTGACATAAACTAGATTTGTGATATGCTTATGTAATACTAGAAATGACACATGCACCCATCATGTGCACTGCAATACATCTTAGGTGATGTAATAATAAAAGTGAAGTATAGTTTTGCCAAAACCATAAAATTGTGTTTAGCGGAAAAGTATTTTTTACTGCTTTAGTTGTTAAGTGAAATTTTGTATCAGTTAGAATTTTCTAAAAATTAAAATTCAATTCTTAAGTGGCATCAGCCACATAAGCACAGGTCTAGAGTCTAGAGCAACTTATTTACTTCAATGATGGAAGTTCAGAGAGATGAAGCAACTAGATCCAGTCAAGCCAGATTAGTTTAGTTTAGAATGGAGCAAAACCATAAATAAATCTATACTCAGTATATGAAAAATGTTACTTTAACAAATGTTTTATATCCTAGGCTAAATCCATATCACACCAAAAAGAATTACTTTATTTATTTTTAAATTTTTTTTTTTTTTTTTAGAGAGAGAGAGCATTAGGGCGGGGCAGAGGCAGAGGGGGAGGGAGAGAATCTCAAGCAGGCTCCATGCCCAGCTCAGAGCCCAAGAAGGGGCTCGATCTCACAACCCTCAGATCGTGACCTAAGCTGAAATCAGGAGTCAGACACTTAACCAACTGAGCCACCCAGGTGCTCCAAAAAGAATTACTTTAATAAGGAAAAAAAAAAACAGTTATTTAATTTAACTGGAAACAGTTTGTTTAAACAAAGCAACAACTTTTTTATGGAGGTTCAGGGGTTCACTTTTCAATTAGAGATTATGGCATACTGTAAATAGATGAAAGGTGATCTGAATTTGCTCTTAGACTTCATTCCCCAGATGAACACTAGCATTTAGCCTTGTTTTGTTTTGAATACTGAGTCTTGTTTTATCTGTAATACATGCATAAATTTATGGAGGAATTAGAGAGGCAGCATAATTTTACTCTTCAGTGAATGCTTAAGCTTCTTGAGGAACCAGGTGCCTTAAGTCTAAATTTACAGAGTAGACCTTACTCTCTTAGCATTATGCTGAGAAGAAGCAAGGAATTAAACCTTTTCACTGATTTAATATTTTACATATTTATCATAAAACTGATAATTTTCTCCTGCCATTGCTGGTACTTTGATGATAGAGAAACAGTCCAGGACGTAAAAGGTAGCTTTTGCTATTTGTGAAAATGTCAGGAAACTTGAAGAATACTTTAGAGACTCTTGATTGATAGCATAGGTACTCAGCTAATGGGGGAGGGGCATTAACTAATTACATATATATTACTGTTTTAGTTGAAGTTTTCAAAAGCATTCACTTGAAATTTTAACATCTGTAAATAAAAGACCTTAGGATACATGCTTTTCTGTGTAATCTTTTTTCCCCCCATTACTTTCCCCCATTTTCTTCTAATGTTTTTTGGATTCTGCTAGAGATGACCTAATTTTTACTAATTGCTATGCATTCAAAGTTTTATTTGCTGAGTGGCAGCATTACTGTCATTATTCTTTGGTAGTTTTAATAAGTGGTTTTATACAAAGCCGCTATTCAAAAGAATATATTGGTACTAGCTTGTAAGTTGTTTTTGTTAAAATTGGCCTTATTCCAGGAAAAAATTGAATGCTAATGTAGAAGGTGAAGTTTATTACGTGTGAGTTCCTTTATTTGCTTATTGACTTGCTAAAATACACACACACACAATATCAATTTTAAAGAACACCTTAAATAACTTTCTTCAAAGCAGTTATGTTTCCTAAAAGATGTAGCCACTGTTTTATACTTTTGTTTTCTAGCACCTCTGAATGAAGATTCTTCTTCTCAACCATCTGAATTCAATTTATTTTAATTAAATTGTTTTAAATGTATAGCTGTATTTTTAGTTTTTTTTCTTTAAATTTAACTGTCCCTATAGGTTAATTACCTTTTCCCTGCCCTTCATTTAAATCTCTTCTCCCAGAAAGACAATTATATGATCTCACTGATATGAGGAATTTGAGAAACAAGACAGAGGATCATAGGGGAAGGGAGGGAAAAATTAAACAAGATGAAACCAGAGAGGGAGACAAACCATAAGAGACTCTTAATCTCAGGAAACAAAGTGAGGGTTGCTGGAGTGGAGGGGGGTGGGAGGGATGGGGTGGCTGGGTGATGGACATTGGGGAGGGTATGTGCTATGGTGAGCGCTGTGAATTGTGTAAGACTGAGGAATCACAGACCTGTACCCCTGAAACAAAAATACATTATATGTTAATAAAAAAATAATAAATCTCTTCTCCTCCCAAATTCCTTATTATTTTGAGTTGGGACGCATTACCTGAAAGCTTTGGGCTTAATGCTATGTGAATTGACTTGGTGCTTTTTATTTTCCATGTATTATGCACCACTAAAAAGAATGTAACACATGTAGCAGCTTATTTTGTTTTTGAAGGAGGAATTGAAGAGCTTTTGAGTAAAAATGTGAAAAGAAGCTAGTGTTCATTGCCTACGTGGCTTTTTTAAAAGGCTCTTAAAAAACATTCCATTGTGGATTCCAAGTCCTCTTTAAACTTACCACCGACAGTAACTGGCTGCAGAGCCATGTGATCATCTTGGCAGCAGCCAGGCCTTTTAGTGATTTCATTATGTGGTTTCCTCAAGCTCTTTGCACACATTGATTAATATTTTTCTTGCAGTTATCGCTGTGATGATTTTGTGGTTAATGACACCAAGCTGGGACTGGTACAGAAAGTCAGAGAACACTTACAGAACTTGGAAAAGTAAGTAATAGGACTTGGGAAAGGAAGGGTATAGAATAGGGTTGAGGGGTCTTTGCAGATTTTTGAGTGGGAATTTTATTATTGAGTTCCATAACTTCATCATGATTTTAGTGTGATTGAAGTGTTAATAAAGTAAACTTTGGATATCTGAAACTGTGCCCATAGTTAATGGTTATAGCATTTATTTCATTTAATATTTATCATAAATCATAGCCAAGAGTCCAGGAGCCTTTTTTTTTTAAGTTATTACCCACCAATTTATAAGCTCTAGTCAGTTGATTTGCAAGGGAAATTTTGGAGGTATAAGGAAAGGGCATAAAATGATAGAAAATCATTATAGAGTTACTTATGATTTTAGAAAATCCTTGTCAGGCATGTTTTGTGAGGTCTCAGAAGCACTAAAATTTATGCATTATTTTTAAGGGAAATTAGGTTTTATTATATTGTCCACTTTGCTTCTGTAGGATAGCACAAGATCCTAGTTTCATCTTTTCCTCTTTTGTTAGGGGCTGTATGTGTCACTTGAAATTACAATAGATTGTGAAATGCTATGTCATCAGAAAGAAATTACGTCATCTAAAGAAATTTATCATCATAAAGAAAAATTCTATTCACAACTTATGTGAATAGAATTTTTTTGCTATAGCCAGATAGGTTATTCAGATAAAATTCACTGAACCCAAAGTTGAAGCAATAAACAGAAATCCAAATAGTGATGCAGTGGATAGAAGCATGGCCCTGGAATGACTGCTGACTCTAGTGAAATTTGTATAAATCACCCCTGATCGTCAGGTGCCATCTAATTTATTTTGACAGTTGACCTTAAAAACTATTGTGAGAACATACAAAAGGAGGAGTCCCTTAGCAAACTTAAAGGCAATAGAATATTTTTAAATCATATATTGAGAGGAAATAGCTTAAGTGCTTTGAATAAAACACTTGTATAGTTTTTGTTAACCAAAGTCTTTATGCATGTCTTGTTGACAATAGATTACAAAGCTGATAAGGGAAGAAGGATGGATTTCTTTAAAATCTACACTTGTTAAAACACTTTGAATTAAAGTACTTTTCGGTTTGATATCTTTTGGCTCCTCTCTTTTTCAAAGTGCTTCTTCCCTTCTTGTAATCTGAAGTAGAGGAGCAGAAGCCCTATCTAGGATTAGAGACAGAGGTACAGATACACAGACCCAAATATTTTTGTCTGAAATTGTCATAATTAACAAGTAGGACATTCCCACAATAATTATGTAATGTCACTCTTTAGTGTGGTGATGTCATAGTGAAGATCTTAATAGACTTGATTTTTTTGTCAGAGAAGTGGGTAGCTACCAGAATATTTTTCTGCCACTTACAGTTTTCTCTAAGAAAAGACCACCTCTCAATCCCAAATAAATGTATCAGAACTAAGTCAAAGGGAAAAGAGGATATTCAAGGATGTACATGCATTTATGCAGTTATCAGATCTTTTATTTCCATTGACCACTTCATCCGGTAAAAGATGTCAGAGTTCCTTTTCTGTACTTCCGCTTGGTCCCACTGAAAAGTCTACCTGCAGTCCTCCTCCTGTGTTGAAAAACGTTACTTGGGTTCATTTTTCTGTTCTTCAAATTTGGGCTTTAGTCTGTAGTGGAAACCACAGTTTCAAAACTGTGATTATATTTGTGTTTTACTTAACTTTAGACTCTTCTGCATATCCTCTAGAAGTGCACTGTGTAAAAGAACTTACTGAAGTGACGAAAGTGTTGTATAATCTGCACTGTCCTATACAGTAGTCTTATGCAGAGCAGGTGAAAAGTGGCTAGCAATGACCGAGGAACTGAGTTTTTAATTTTATGTAAGTTTAGTTAATTTAACTTTATATATCCACATGTAGTAAGTGGCTACTGTATTAGTGTGGATCTAGTGAATTCTGCCATTTTGAGAATGGCTGAGGATAATATTTAATAACTTATATTTTAAAAAGCTGAATGTGTATATAGGTTAAAACTGAAAACTGTTAGGCTTGTTGCTAAGGTGTGTGTGTGTGTGTGTGTGTGTGTGAGTGTGTGTGTGTGTGTGTAGTGCTTGTGATTCAACCTCCTTACTTACAGAATTGTGAAGGAATAACTTGACACTGTAATATATGGAATTGGTCTTTTCTTACCTTGTATTCAGTGATACTCTGAGAGGGATATACACACAGTTCTGAGGACATGTTGCCTAAGAATATTTTTAGTTTTGAAGTAACTGTCACTAGATCTGATGCTCCAAAGATACTATAGTTCATGTGGAAATTAAATAATCATGCATTTATTTTGGACTACCCTCATACTTTTTAGAAGATGGAAAAGAATTAGCAGACTTTAAAAAGTCTGTGTTGTTCAAATGTGGGCTTTAGTCTGCAGTGGAAACTACAGTTTTTGGTAGTTTTTTATATATTAATAGTAAAAAATGATAATTTTTACTTCTTTTAGATGAGATCTCCTGATATATAATAATTTTAAAGGAATCCTTTGAAAGAATTATTTTCTGATAAAATTTAAGCAAAATATCTCTTATCAAGAAAAATTTTGAAAAATTTTAATTTAGAATATCCATGCTAATTAGAATTTGTTTCAGAATATCCTTTGTAGCATAGCTGAATCGAATTAATTTGTATATATCTATGTGCCTATAATTTATTTTCCAGAAATTCAGATTATATCATAATCTGTTATGAAAATGAGCAAAATAGGAAATTTTTATCAAAATTGGGAAAGAAGTAGCATAGTATTTGAGACTTAATGTTAAATCTCAGTATAATATCAGACAAGGGTTTTCCTTTTGTTGTGAGGAATGGGTCTTCTCATTTCTGAAGTTTCGCAGTCAATTAGGCAGGTAGTGGTAGTGAAGAGGGATTGTCTCACAGACTACATCTACCTGGCCAGCTTTTCTGGGAGGTGCCTGGTGGTAGACGCTTGCAGCCCACCTTGGTAGAGGAGTAGTGGGGATTGCCAAGGAAAGTGGAACTCCTCACTTACTTAAAATACTTGTGGGCCACAGCGGGCCTAACAGGTCACTTCCTGGCCTTGCTAAGCAGCCAGGCAGGGCTCTATACCCCAGACCCTTAGAACAGCAACGTTTATTTTTTAACCTGCTGTCTAGTATGTTTGTGTTAATGTCTTTTTGACTATCTGTTTGTGTTTTAATAGCTCAGCTTTCACAGCTGATAGGCATAGGAAAAGAAAACTTTTGGAAAACTCATCACTAAACAGCAAGTTGTTAAAAGTAAATGTAAGTAATTAAAATATATACAAATGTAAGAATTGGTTGAGATCTCATCACTGTTTTATTACAACTCTAACATTAATGTTGCTCCTTATAAACTTTCATAAATGTATGCCTTGGATTTGGTATATTTTACAAAATGTTTGCCACTTGTACTAATGATTCGTGATGTAACTAAATACTCCATTTTGTCCATCTGTCAGTGCCTTCCTGCCATCAGGATTACTACTGTGCTCCTCTACCTTAGCAAGTGTTCACTCTTAAAGCCTGTTCATGTGTCTTACTACTCTGTTTCTAAGGATCCCAAAGATCTTTGCTTTTTTTCTGTTAAAGGTTCTAAGTGCAAATTCTATGGGTCTGAAGTTTTGGTAAGTTTTATTTCTTAGGATTTCATTAATACAGTTTCACCACGAAAGAATGTGCTTCCTCATTCTGGTAACCATCTGTTACCAGATGTATGATCCATTAATAAATTAATAAAATTTAAAGATCACTAAATACTTTTAAATACATTAGTAATTTTGCCCTGCATCTGCCTTTCTGCTATCACACTAGTTATGTTTAGACATGCAGTTACTTAGTTAAAATGTTAGGATTTTGTGAAAGAAAGAGCTAAAGTGCTCTCTGGCCATCTGAGTTATGGGCAGAGATGCTTTGGGTTGGATTGGTAGATTCTCTTCTCAGGTGTAGTATTCATATGTTACAGTGCGTTTGTAGAGCTAATCAGAAAATCAAGCCTTGGTCTTCAAGGGAAATTCAGGTAGTTTTTAAAGATTGATATCCCATTGCTAGGAATACATGTATTGGTCATTTATGCATGGCATAGTTAAACGTTTGGGGGTGAATATTTCAGGTAAATGTTTATATCTTTTCAATTTGTAGTAGTTTTAATAAAATCTTATGAAAGCATTGTCTTAAACTTCATTTCTTTTAAGGATCTTCCTGGTTTTCAAATTTGTACTCCATGGTTTTCATTAATGCTGGTTTCCTCATAAGCTTCCATGAGGTACTCCCATGTAGAACAATCCCAGGATCAGAATCAGGCTTCTAAAAATATCTGGACACTTCTACAGAAAGTAGAATGAGAGTTTGAAATATTCATTGGACAAAGAAGGACCAATTCCAAACTGGCTTGATGCTAGAGTTTCAAATATAGGTCTTTGCTTTGATGTCTGACACGTCTTTCTCTTGGTATTACTGATGGCCTCTCTTGTCCCATTTTGCAGGGAAGCACCGCTGCCATCTGTGCCACAGGCCTCCGGAATCTGGGGAACACATGTTTCATGAATGCCATCCTTCAGTCACTCAGGTACTGTCAACCTCAGAGCTTAAGGTGCTGGTGTTAGTTTCTAGTGAAATGGTTAGGAGGAAAGACTCTGGGTTCACATTCTGTCTCTGCCACTAACTCTGGTCAGTTCCCTGTGCCTCAGTTTCCTCATCAGTAAAATCAGGGATAATAGTTCTGCCTCATAGGATGGTTGGGAAGATTAAATAATTTATATAAAGGGTTTAGAACAGTGCCCAGCAGTAAATAATTGTTAGTTGTTATTATTTATCTCCTATTGCTTCTTGAATAAACTAGAGCACAGGTCCACAAACTTTTTCATTTAAAGGCCAGACAGTAAGGATTTTAGTCTCTGCATGCCACACACAGTCTGTCTCCTATCTTCTCCTCCTCCCCTGCCCTCCACCTCCACACTTTTTAAACAACTCTAAAAATGTAAGAGCTCAGTGGCCCAGGACCAGATTTGGCCAGCAGACCCCTGGACTACAGAGAACCTTGTTGAGAATTTAATCCGATCATTAGTTAAGTCTTAAATATGGTCATAAGATTGGATGTTTAGAAAATCTTTAAAATGTAAGATAAGTAGCAAAAATAAAATACCCAACAAGGCTGACCTCAGTTATGTAGAAGAAATTATTTTGAAAGTCATGTACTTGTAGATTTTAATGTGGCATCAAAGGCCAGAATTAATTCTCTTCCCAAGGCCACCTTGCAAACAAGGAGCAGAAGTCATACTTGATCCCTCCTTGAAGGTACTATCTCTTGGTTTATCTAGTCTTGTTCAAATAAGAAATTCAAGTCACTGCTGAATTCTCCTTAATACTCTTGACTGTATATTTAAACAGTACGGTTGGTTTCATGGTTTGCTTTTATTTGAGGAAATTATTGAATATTTGGGAACAGGTACCATAAAGAAAAAATGGTGACAACTTTTGGGGGAGGGGAATTGAGGATTAAAAAAATTTTTTTAAGTTTTATTTATTTAAGTTGTCTCTACAACCAGTGTGGGGCTTGAACTCACAACCTCAAGACTGAGTTGTATGCTCTTCCAACTGAGCCAGTGGGTGCCCCAGAATTCAGGATTTTTTGGAATAGATTTTGCTTTAAGCTCTTTCTTTGTTCATTTCTACAAAGTCATCAGTTAATACTGTTTTCTTAGAGTAAATGAGGAAACTTAATGGGGAAACTCAAAGCAATTTCTTGAGAAATTGAAAGATCACATTTAAAAAATTCACATGTAGGTTTTATAGAACTTTCTTTACAGTCCTAGTAAATTCTTTTGTTTTTTCTTTCTTCTTTCTCTCTCTCTCTTTTTCTTTTCTTTTCTTCCTTCCTTTCTTTTTCCTTCTTTCTTCTTTTTAAAATAATTTTATTCCCTTCCTTTTAAAATAGTAACATTGAGCAGTTTTGCTGTTATTTCAAAGAACTGCCCGCTGTGGAGTTAAGGAATGGGAAAACAGCAGGAAGGCGAACATACCACACCAGGAGCCAAGGGGATAACAATGTGTGAGTTCTAAGAATATATCCTTTCTGGCTTTGAGATACAAAACAAGGGACTCTTATTGGTGATTTCCATTGTATTATGTGAGTTCATAGGCACATGCATTTTAAAACACTCTTCTTCTAAAACCTGGGTTTAACTGTCTAGCTAATGATTTTAATAATTGTTGGAATTCTTTTATTTCTATTTACCTAATAGGAGAATAAATTTAGCTCTCTATATATTAAGTCTTTGTGGATTTGAGCTCTAAAATTGACATCTGTATATGAAACACAGTTCTAGGTGTAGACCAGCATGAATATCATTAGTCTTTGTGAATTGATTTGTCTTACAGTGTTAGATAAATCTGTTTTGGATAATAAAATTAATTTGTAGTCATCAAATTAATTATGGGGCAATACAGCCAATTTTTAGTTGATATGGAGAGGGAAAAATTGACAAATGATTATTGAGAACCAATATGTATGCAAATTCAGTGCAGCTGTGCTCCATTTGATGTTCAGAAGATCTATATTATGATTGTAATGGGCAGAGTTTTTTTCATATCTTAACATTACTGAAATAAGGCTCTGATTTATAATTTGTGTATGTGTTTATATATATGTGTGTTTGTATGTGTGTGTATATATACATATATATGTACATATATATGCAGATATATTTTTCTGCCAACCCATCCCAGCTCCCATACACCCCATCCCCACACATTCTGAAAAGCCATTTTATAATCTGACATTGTTCTGCCTAAGTGACTCAGGGAGATTAGGATAGAACATATTAGAATAGTATGCAGTATGGATAGAGCCAAAATACCAGGGAACTTTAAAGCCAGGCATTGGAGTAGGGATGGAATCATACCACAACAATTGATATCTTAAGAGTTTGCTTTAGTAGCAGCATATAGGATGAACTGGAAAATGCCTGCATTCAAGGAGACTTCACACTTTATAGTAGTTGGGTTGGATGAGACAGCAGTGAAATAAGGAAGAAAAAAATACATCTTCACAGAATTTAAGAGGAGAATTAGTAGTATTTGATGCATTAGTGTCATTTAGGGTTTAGTTACAAACTGCAGAAATTGGCTCTGGCCATTTTAGGCCGAAAAAGAACTTAATGCAGGTCTGTTGGTAAGCTGTTACTGGATGGGTGGAAAATCAGGTCTGGAATCTAGACATCCAGGACCATTGCTGCACTTACCCCATGGAACTCTATCCCATAAGGATATCACTGCTTCCATAACATCACTGACCCATGACAACACACTGCCCAGTGTGTGACACCAAAGTTCCTATTACCAGCACTGTTAGAGTGGGTGCTGGGTGAATGCTGCTGTTATTGCTGCCCCTGCACTCCAGATGATGCTCTTTGTCACCAGAAAGGATTTGTCACTGCCTCAGCTTTGCATCACTAACTTCTGCTTCAAATAGGCAGAACTCAGGCCATGTACCTGAGCCCTGGCTGCAAGGGGGTTTGAGACAGCAAGTATCTGGCCTTTCCAGCTTCCATAGTGGGAGGCAGTCTCTTAACCAAGACTCTTAAGGTGGGGAATTCCTCAAATACAGGGAGAGGGTTCAGGTACTAGGAAGTAAAAAATATGATCTGTGTCTTAGGGACCTACTGGATGACAGGGGTTGAGCAAGGAGTTATTGAGATTCTCTGAGATATCAATCAGGTATTTGTGAGTATGGTATTGTATTGACATACAGATATTAAAGTTGTTTGGAGATGTTTCAGTTTAGTTAGTTATTGGAGGTATTTCATTCTAGCTACATACATAGAAAAAATTAATAGTGACTTAAACATCCATTGTTTATTTTCTCATGTAGAAGCTGGAGATTATCCATCTAGGGCTGTTTGCCACAATCATCAGGCTCCTCCTAGCTTTCTGTTCCACCAACCCTAGTGTAGGGCTGTCGTCCACATAGCTCAGAGTGATGCTGGAGTACCACCATTTCGTCCTTCCAACTAGAAGGAAGAAGGAAGGGGTTAATGAGGACTATTTCTCTTTAAGGGAATTTCTCAGAAGTTGAACACACTCAAAGTTTTTTATTCCAGAAGTTCTTTTGCCGAGCAAAAATGGAAAGTTCTGTTTCTATGAGAGAAGAGAAGAATGGGTATTGGAGGATTGTAGAGAGAGTATAGAGAGCAGCTTTAGTGCACATTGAGTTTGAAGTGACGAGGATGTCCAGGAGGAAATTCATCTTGGAAACTGGAGAAACCTGACTAAAAGTGGTCTCGAGAAAATCTGGCTTTCAGATTTGGATTTGGAAGTCCTGGTATAGAGTTGAGTATTGAAACTTTGTATCCAGATGAACTGTCTGAGGCAGAGATGAACAGATGGTCACAGGCTGAGGTCTGGGAAGTGTGCCTTGTGAGGGGCAAGAAAGAAAACTGCAGGAAATGGAGAAAGAGAATCTGTTACTTGTTTTAAGTTTTTTAAAAATGTACATTTTAAAGTAATTTGGTTTGTATCTATTGCTTTATTCTACAAGTATGGCATTACTTTGGCACAAAGTTCACCATATAGTTAAAAACTAGTCTTGTCTGTAATTACTGCAATTTATGTGGGTTTTTGAGATGCTCTTACTTAACTGTCAGAGTTAGTTTAGAAGAAACCAAACCCTTTTTATGTTTATATTTTTTATTATGAATTGTAGACAGTTGGACATTATGCATTGAAACAGTAGCCTCTCTCTAATGCCAGCGGTATCATCCCTTCTTCTTTTCCAGGTCTTTAGTGGAAGAGTTCAGAAAGACACTCTGTGCTTTATGGCAAGGTAGCCAGACTGCATTTAGCCCAGAGTCCTTATTTTATGTTGTTTGGAAGATTATGCCAAATTTTAGGTAAGTATTACTTAATGAAGAATATTTAAAACATTAATATTAGTCTTTATGCTGTTCCTGGAACAGTTTCCTATGAAGTGGTGGTATTCTAAATAATAAGAAGGTATTTATTAAAGACTGGTTTTATTTTATTTTTTTATTTTTATTTTTTTAGAGTGGGGGAGCAGGGAGGAGGGTTTGGGAGAGGGGCAGAGAGAGAATCTTAAGCAGGCTCCACGCCTGGCGCACAGCCCAACGTGGGGCTCGATCCCACAACCCTAAGATCATGACCTCAGCCGAAATCAAGAGTCGGATGCTTAACCAACTCAGTCACCCAGGTGCCCTTTTTGTGTTGTTTTTAAAAGGAGAAGAACGGCAATTGGATCATTTGACTAGACAAATGTGTGTGTTTAAATAATACATAGACATTAACAATGTCTTTAACAAATGGTAGGATATTTTGTTCTAAAAACAAAGCCCTTATAAGTAACTTACGTGCCCTTGTAAATAATTTAGGAACACATACTGGACAAAATTCCATTCTTTCAAAATCTTATGATGATCATACACCATCATACACCATCTTGTTATTTCAACTAAAAAAAAATCCAAATGTAATCTGTAGAAATCTGTGGTCTGAAATTCACTGTTCTGGGCTGGGTTCTGAAGTCAGGTCTGTTGGGATTCAGTTTGCAAAAGGTAGCTGGGCCACATCCTAATGTGGCTGTAGAGTCACTGTGTTTTCCTTGCTCTCTCTCTAGCATCACTTGAGGAGGGAAACAGCCTTGCTGTCAGAGGAATCTGCCTCTTCTCCTAGGTTAGTCCTCTCGGTAGGGATGCAGGTAACAGCAGATTTGAGGCACTGCAGGTGTTTGACAACAGCCTTTGCCACCTTCTGATTTTGTCCTTCTGAAGCAGGTCTGTGCTCTTGCTAGTCAGGAGTTTGTACATCCCTCTCTAATGTACATCCCTCTCCTTTTGAAAAAAACAAAAACAAAAATACCCAGCATGCTGTATGTAGTAAGACTAAGTAGTTTATCTTGCTCTATTGCCTAATAGTGATTTAGATATATTAGTAGTATAGAAAAATGTTTAAAAGGTAGCACTGAGTGTTATACACAAACAATCATGGAACACTACATCAAAAACTAATGATGTAATTTATGGTGATTAACATAATATAATTCAAAAAAAAGGTAATAACCTCAAAGAACTGACATTTGTTGCCTTACTCGAGAAGTCTAGCCTTGAGGATCTGATGTGAGTGACTGTTGTTACCCCTGCTCTTTATTTTGACGGAAACTTCTTTTATATATTGTGACATTTAAATTTCCTCTTAGAAGAGACTAATTTTGCAAGAATTTTAAAGTTTCTTGACTCCCAAGTAGGAAAGGTGGAAATGACTGCTAAGTTACCACTAACCAGGTTTGGACTTAATATAACATTTCTAATATAGTCTCCTAGTTAGACTCTTGATAGGGACTTAGTCTTTGTGTTTTATTATTATATAAAATTAGTTTCTATTTATTGAATGCTATGTGTCTAGCACTTTAGGCCTTTTATATCTGATCTTCATTAAAAAACACAACCACAAAATTCCCATCAAGGTAGGAAGTGTTAACTCCATTTTAAAAAAGACAAAACTGAGAGAGAGGAGGAAGAACTTGTTCAATCTTACACATCTAGTAGGTGTTAGGATCAGAGTTAGGACTCAGGTCTTTGTGGAATTGGTAAAGAATAGATGTGTCAGCAGTCATTTGTCCACATGCCTGAGTGAAGCCTACCAACTCACTTTATACTGTTCTGCTTGGTTCCCATGGTGATTCAGGTCCTTTATTCTTAAGCGGGAGTTTAGAAACTGTATGAAACTTTTATTCAATAGAATTCTACTTTTCCTCAAAATCTGCCCACATCTCTGCCCTTTATATAAAGTTTCTATAGCCCAGCTGTGAGCATGATTTAATTTTTAGCTGCTTAATTTTGCCCATTCTGTATCCTTAGCAATGAAAGGAAAAGACTCTTGGAGAAGGTGACCAAGTTGAGTTTCTGGAGTGATTCCTAATTCACATGAACTCTTAGATTCCTTAGTGACTGATGGGAGTAGAATGCCTGTGTATTCTTAGCAAGGCTTTCTCAGTTTCACAGTAATTGAGCTTGGTCCCCATTTTCTTGTAATTGACGAATAATTTTCTCTTGATTAGATCTAGATCTTGAGATTGGGATAAAGCTTAAGTGTAAGGTCACTGCACAACACCCAGGGGTGAGGCAGGGAGATGTAGGGCTTTCTTCCTATAGCTGGTACTCGTATTAGGTATGCAGGGTAAAGTTCCTGTAACGTGGCCTGCCTGTGTGGAAGTGCCATGAGTCTTGAACTATGTTTCTGTTATATTTATGATCACAAAATAAATTTTATTTATTTATTTATTTGTTTATTTATTTATTTATTTTAAAGATTTTATTTATTTGACACAGAGAGACACAGTGAGAGAGGGAACACAAGCAGGGGGGAGTGGGAGAGGGAGAAGCAGGCTTCCCGCCAAGCAGGGAGCCTGATGTGGGGCTCCATCCCAGGACCCTGGGATCATGATCCGAGTCAAAGGCAGACGCTTAACCACTAAACCACCCAGGCGCCCCCCTCCTTTTTTTTAAAGATTTTATTTATTTGACAGAGACACAGTAGGAGAGGAAACACAAGCAGGGGAGAATGGGAGAGGGAGAAGTGGGCTTCCTGCCGAGCAGGGAGCCTGACAAAATAAATTTTTAAAAGGGGTTAGGAAGCCCATTTTCCTTGATTAACCTATGACAAGGTCTGGGGAATTTGATCACTTGGAATGAAATATGAGGACTCTGAAATACACATGCATGTGGAAGTAGGAACAACTTTCTTTTTTTTTTTTTTAAAGATTTTATTTGAGAGAGAGAATAAGAGAGCACATGAGAGGGGGGAGGGTCAGAGGGAGAAGCAGACTCCCTGCTGAGCAGGGAGCCCAATGAGGGACTTGATCCCAGGACTCCAGGATCATGACCTGAGCCGAAGGCAGTCGCCCAACCAACTGAGCCACCCAGGCGCCCAGGAACAACTTTCATTCATTAAGTAATGCAAAAAAAAAAAAAAAAATATATATATATATATATATATATATAGTAAATATAATCAACAGCTTTTGTGTAGAAACCACCAAAACTATTCTTTCTTTTTTCCCACTCAAACCAAAAGCCAATTACCCAGCAGTATAAACTTTTGCCAAAGTTTGGCCTTTCCAACATGCATATCTACTTACCACACTTCTTACGGCTTCCTAGTATGCCCTGCTTTTCCTGTCCCTTTCCTTTTCAGAAAAGTAACTTAAAAGTTTATGGTGTTGTTCGTTTTTTTAAGATTTTATTTATTTCAGAGAGAGAGCATATACTAGTAAGCAGAGGGGCAGAGTGGGATGGGCAGAGGGAGAGGGAGAGAATCTCAAGCAGACTACACACTGCACTCGGAGCCCTATGTGGGGCCTGATCCCAGGACCCTGAGATCATGACCTGAGCTGAAATCAAGAGTGGACGCTCAACTGACCGAGCCACCCAGATGCCACTAAGTTTATGTTTTTTAAGTAGGTAAAATACAAATGGCTGAGAATTTCCAAAAGGTAAAGAAAGGATATACAATGAAAGTTTTTTTCTTTTACTTTATTTCCCAGCCCTTCATTTTGCTTTCTAGAAGCAGCCATATTTACTAGATTTTTGTTTATCCTTTTGTTGATATTCTGTGTGTGTGTGTATAATTTTAACATAAATGATAACATACTTTTTTCCTACTTTGAGGTAATTTGTACTAGTATCTAAATAACTTTCATTTTATGGCTGCATAATGTTATACTTTATGATTGTATCATGATTTATGTATAGTCCCCTATCAGTGGTTATCTAGGTTGTTTTTTACCTTTTGCTGTTCCAGACAGTGCTGCAGTGGATAGTCTCATACATGCATATGCAAGGCTCTCAGAGAGTACTTGCTGGATCAAAACATATTTGCTTGGGGGTGCCTGGTTGGATCACTTGGTAGAGCATGAGACTCTTGATTTCAGGGTCATGAGTTTGAGCCCCACATTGGACATAGAGATTACTTAAAAAAACAAAAAAGATACTTGCTTTTAATTTTGATAGTCTTTTCTGCTAGACTTTTTTTTTTTTACTCTGCCTTCCTTAACATGATTTTGCCTTTTTGTCTCTGCATCTTTGTCATGTTTGTCCTGTGGGATTTGCCTTGACCTCTGTCTCCTTCTTTAACTTCAAGGTCCAGCTTAATGCTAACTCTCTAGGAAAATCTCTTGATAATTCAAATTGGGTCATGTTATTTATTCCCTTCTCATATCATTTATGTGCTATTTCTACTTTCACATAAACTTGATTTAATATATTTGCCTTAACTTCCCAAGGAGTTTACTTTAGTTTTGTTTTTATCAGTTCTTATTGTAATTAATGTTTAAAAATGATGGGTGAATAAATTCCTAAAACCTTCTTATTTCTACTAGCTATTCTACTTGGCTTTGTAGAAAATATAAAAGATCTTTGTGGACAACAGATGGGTCTCTGCATGTGATATCTTAATAATTTTTCTAGGTATACTGTTGATATTTTATAATTAAGTGAAATTTTGAAGCTCTGGATTGTATAATTGGGAATTATCATAATTTATAATTAAAGTTATAATATAATTCTGTCTAAGAATTTTGCAGTTGTATGTTTTTTGTGTGTTTGTAAACAAAAACAGTTATTTGTCATTTTCATTTTCTGGTGTTTTTGTCTTGGAGAAACTCAGCTGTGGTTGATGCCACAAAATGGAGGGGAATAGTTAAATTTAATTGATTTTGGTATTATACACAATTTGGACAAAACAACAATATAGAATTCTTTTATGAATGTTAAAGGCATTTTTTTTTTCGGGGCACCTGGGTGGCTCAGTTGGTTAAACCGCTGCCTTCAGCTCAGGCCATGATCCCAGGGTCCTGGGATCGAGCCCCACATTGGGCTCCCTGCTCATGCAGGAAGCCTACTTCTCCCTCTGCCTGCCGCTCCCCCTGCTGTGCTCTCTCCCTCTTTCTCTCTCTCTCTCTCGCTCTCTCTGTGTGTCAAATAAATAAATAAAATATTTTTTAAAAAAGTATTTTTTTCTTAAAGATATCTTAAAAATAAGAACAGAGCCTAAAATTATAGTGTGTCGTAGGTATTTTAGAAGTTTGTTCTAGAATGATAAAATTTGATAGGCATATCCTGTTCCTGATTGGTCTTTCCATCTTATACATTATGTACTGGTACTGCCAGAACGCAGAGAATAGTAATGCACAGGTGTATGTCACAGTTAGGTGTGTTGGCATCATATAAGTACTTGTGTGTGCCTGCATTCTGGGGTATCTGATTCAGTATTTGGATTGTCTGCTTTTCACACTTAACAAAGTAACATTTTCTTTCATCATTCTCCATTGGGACATTTCTTTGTAAGATTTGGGTAAATACAGCTTGTCTCCTTGTGCCAAAAATTGTGAAGAAACGGTTGCCCCGTACCTCTACACATTGTGTTTCAGCAACATCCCTCTTTCTTGGCCCCTCGTTCAGAAGAGGTTCTTCATGATCTTTTGGGCTTTTATAGTTGCAGTGTGCTCTCCAACCATTATTTCTCACAGCATCTTTATGACACAGAGTTTCTGTAAGTATTAAGAAGGAGGTAATCTTTACCTAAGGTTACAAACAAGTTAAGGTAAGAAACAGTATTAAAATTGGAGCCACTATTATTTTCCTGTCTTCTTTTCTGTCTTAATTCCAGTCTGTCACAGAGATACCAGTTGGTTCTTTATAAATCCATTTCCTCACTGTTTCACCAGCACTTGTTTGGGTGGTATCACTGAGATAATCTGTATACAAAACATAAACATTGAACCTAAATGTGAGGAGTGTTCCTTTTACATGATTACCAAGGAAGAGAGACCTAAGTTGACTACCAACAAAATTCTGAGCTCCGGGGCGCCTGGGTGGCTAAGTCATTAAGTGTCTGCCTTCGCCTCAGGTCATGATCCCAGGGTCCTGGGATCAAGTCCCACATCGGGCTCCCTGCTCCGCGGGAAGCCTGCTTCTCCCTCTCCCACTCCCCCTGCTTGTGTTCCTGCTCTCGCTATCTCTCTCTCTCTGTCAAATAAATAAAATCTTTAAAAAAAAAAATTCTGAGGCTCCGGATTGCATAATTGGGAAATAATTGAAAAGATAACTGAAGTTTGTGGAATTTAACTTACTAAACAGTATTTTTTTAAGGTTTTCAGATAAGTCAGTGAAGCTATTATTTAAAAATAGAGTTGTAAATGTCTGTTTAGTCAGAATCAGAAAAATTTCCTAGTCTTAGAAGAAGCTGACTTTGTGTTTTTTTGGTAAAGACCACAAATTGAAACGTACCTTTATAAAAAAGCTGAGTGTTCCATGATGTCATGTAGGTAAAAATATATATATATTTCTAATGGTAAAGGAAACAATAGAAAATAATGTTTTTTTTAAGATTTTTTATTTATTTGAGAGAGAGAGATTGAGAGAGAGCACAAGAGGGGGTAGGGTCAGAGGAAGAAGCAGACTTCCTGCTGAGCAAGGAGCCCGATGGCGGGACTCGATCCCGGGACTGCGGGATCATGACCTGAGCTGAAGGCAGTCGTTTAACCAACTGAGCCACCCAAGCGCCCTAATGTGTTTTGATATAAGAAAAGAGAATCAAAAGAGTCATGGTGTGGTTGGAAACATTCATGAATGTACATTAAGCAGATTGTTTTTTAAAAAGGGATGGATATGTATTTGCTGAAAGTGCAAATCAACATAACTACAAAGTACTGGTCTCATGATCCATTTTAGAAAAATAATTAGATAATAGTTTATTTTGGTGAGAAAATAAAACTATTTTTATATGTGATAGAATTTCAAATATGACCTAAGATACCTCTTACCTTTGAGTCAAAAAAATGGATGTTGTGATGAAAAAGTTTAAAGCACTCTGTAGATATGTAAAGGATCTAACAACTTTGAAAACTTTAGACTGAATTTTAACATTTTTTTTATAGGAGTCTTAGAAGAACTACTTGAACATATATTGAGACTCAGTTGTTAAGTAGTTCAGAAAAAGTTACAGTGAAATGCTAAAGTGACTTCTGACTTAAGTTCCATTGGTTAGGTGGATGGTTTACATAATTTATGATTTCCACAAGAAATTTTAGGGAAAGGGGACAAATGTATATTGAGGGAAACTCTGGTTGAAAGACATCCATGGAACCATTGCCTGGAAGAGTGGTGGAAGTTTTGACTCAAGACCAAGCCAGAAAAACTTGTGATTTAAAAGATAAAGGGAACCTTCCATGTTGGCAGAATGTAGGCAGAAATCTTTTCTATCTATAGTTTTATCAAGTACTTTATGTGTATATCATTGCTTGATTTATTTTATCTACATAAACCTCTATAACCTTTAAGTGTGCCAATTTCATTTTCTGTCAGCCTTCACTTGTCATGGTCTGTATTATTGTAAGAATTCCATATAGGGGCGCCTGGGTGGCTTGTCAGTTAAGCGTCTGACTCTTGATTGCAGCTCAGGTCATGGTCTCAGGATCTTGAGATCGAGCCCCCAGTTGGGCTCTTCACTGGGCATGGAGCCTGTTTAATAAGTCTCTCTCTCCCTCTCCTCCTCCTCCCTTCCTTCCTTGGTGCTCGCTCTCTGAAAAAAAAAAAATTTCCATATCCTTTCCTGTCTGAATGTAGTATAAGAAATAACCTAAGAATATGTTGTTGCTTATATTCAAGTTTTAGGCTAGAGCATAATTGTATATGAGTCAATGCATTTTTTAAAGTATTTATATGAAAAATATCTTTTGAATCAGAGATTAGGATCCAAGTATAGACTCTTTAGAAAGTTTTTCTTCCTTTCAGCCAGTGTTAAATTAGTATCTTTAAGTGTAAAAAATTGGTTTTAAATTCCTTATCTCTTATAAGGGTGGTTTATAAGACCAAGGTTTCTGGTGAGGGCAAGATATGACATTTTAACATTTGAGCATCTTTTGGAAAGGCCATGTGGGAGAGTGGGAAAACCAGAGTCCATCCCACCTCTGTTACTCTCTTGTAGGACTTAGGCATGACACGCACCCCTTCTCCTACCCCTCAATTTTCTTCATCTCTAAAGTGAGGTCAGTTGAGATCACTACACCCCTGATTAGCTCTAATATTCTGTGTTTTCAGATTTGTTTTAGTAGAATTTTTTCTTGTAGAGAAATTTTCTTTGAAGAGAAATTTTTCTTGAAGAGAAAACCTGGCACAAGTGGGGATGAATGGTCAGGGAGCCTCACTGTGCTGAATGCAGGGCTGCAGCCCTTCGTAGCACTTTGCCTTCCTGCATGTTTGGCTGGGCATGTGGAGCCTCCCCAGTGACGGCCTGCTTCTTTTTGCTTTAAGGGGTTATCAACAACAGGATGCCCATGAATTTATGCGCTACCTTTTGGACCACCTGCACTTGGAACTCCAGGGCGGTTTCAATGGTGTTTCCCGCTCAGCAATTCTACAGGAGAATTCTACTCTATCTGCAAGTAACAAATGTTGCATGTAAGATGTAGTTTCCTTCTCTTTTTTTTAGGAGGACCTCAGACATTTCTGTTGGTGTTATTGTTTATTAGATTTATAATGGAAGGTGGAGAGTTTTCCTGGACTTTTGCTGAAACTTTTGTGTACTTGAATTTTATAACCAAGTGGACTAGCACAGGCCTCCTGCTTCCATACCAGAGGCATCTTGTACTTGCCTCTTGGTATAGTCCTAATTGTTTTTGGTATAGATCATTTTAAAAGTTGAGAAACAACAGCAAATATTTTGTACAGTTTAGCACTTGAAAATTCCCTGCCAAATGTATCAAATAATATTTGGGAGACTTAATTTTCTATACTAAAATAAAATAATTATATTTATTCACTAGAAACAAAGTTTTAAAAATATTTTGAATGTGAATTTTCCTAAAATATATTTGTTCTTTAATGAAATTGAAGCATTTGTAAGTTCTCAGAATTTTTCTTGCCTCTCAATATGAACAAATCAAACCTTTTAGATTGCTTTCCTAGGTACTAACACCCCAAAATATACATTGAGATTAGAAAGCTTATTTTGCTTGAGGTAGGGATGATTTACTGTTATTTCAGTCTGATTTTAATTGTAGTCTCCTTTTGTTCAAATTTTTTGAAAAGTGTTGTTTTGACCTGTGCAGGAAAGGGATTTACAAGACAAACTCCCCAAAGACAGAAAGAAAAGAGTAAGTAATATATAGGGATCACCATATTGTATTGCCTTGCAGTTCACAAATCTGATTTAGTGTTAAGTTAGGGTCCTTTTAATGACAGAGCAGCCTCATCGCTCATCTGGCCGTATCAGAGAAGGGCAACCATTTGAATTGCTATATGTTTCAAAACGTTTGGCTCTCTAGGTCCTGATAACTATGGTTCCAATCAGAATCCAGTACAGAAGGGGAGGGATCTGTGACCTGGTAGAATTATTCTTGCTGTTAGCACCAAGTTAAAAGTAGTATTAAGTGAAAAATTCTGCTTTGTATTTTATGATGGCCTTTTATACACTTAAGAATATTGAACTGGGCTCTATCAAGGATAGTCTGTGTGAAATAAGAGGGTATATGTCTTTATTATTTTATGTGATGCCCAAGGCACCGTCATAGAGTCACATTGTGTAATAGTCCTAGGATGATACGGAAAACTCTAGTAACTAATGAGTTTTCCATATTAACCCATATCTTTTCATGATAGTTCAAAGAGTAGTAATTTTAGGTTCCATTAGTGAGATAGGAACAGAAAGAAAAAAATTATCATTACAGGATCCTAAGGATCATATTTGCTAAAACTACAAAAAAAGGTCTCCTATGCAATATCTGTGTTTACTTGTGTAAACACATCCAATGCTACTGAAGATGGGGTTGGCAGATTAAATAAATGACAGATCTGTTCTTTTTAGTACATAGAAAACCATTACTGCTAATACAAAAGACCCTAGCAGTTTAAGAGTCTGTCCGAGTAACTGATATTTAAACACTCTTGGTATACAGTTATAATGAATGGGAAATCAATTTTGAAATCATTTATGGATCTTGTTTTCAGTCATTGTATACCTGACTTAATGCCATACACAGCAGGTAGCCAAGACTTGATGAGTATCCTTTTCTCAGAGGAAGAAATTATAAAGGAAGAACTACATTGAGTCTAAATGTACTACTTTTTACTAAAGCAGTTTCCATTGTAATTAAGGGCAGTATTGTATGTGAACATCAATATGAAAGGATCATAGTCCCTTGATTCCAGTAGTTTTTTTGGTGTGCCCTTGTTTATGACATAGTTCTTAAACCTGTACCCTGAAATAGCTGTTACATCAGATAGTTCCAATGCATTTTCCCTTTTTAATTTACTAAAGCTGTGTATCTTATGAACAGCTTTTTTAAAAAAAAGATGAAGCTGCAGGATATTTCTTTTGCCAGTAAAGAATGGAAGCCCTTTCCTGGAAAAGGAAGCAAACTTTTAAAATAATATAATTGCTTGAGTAGCTTTTGTCTGTCTCATCGTGGCAGTGGGTTTAATTTGGAGCAACTCAAAAAGTACAGTTCAGTGTATTAGGAGTATGATTGTTTGCAAGTGAGAGAAACCACCTCAGATTGCTGTAAGCAAAAAAAGAGCATTTACTGACTTTAAGTAACTACATACATAAGTGCACAAAGATTAATATGTTTGCTGTAGTACTATTAATGATAGCAAACAACGGAAACAACCTGGAAAACCATAATATATGGTTAAATGAAGAAAAGGAGCATAGTGTTAAGAGCTATCTGACCCTGGACCAAGTTGGACCTCAGCTTCCTGGTCTGTAAAATGGGGATAATGGTATCTGCTTCATAGCTTTGTTTTGAGGATTAACTGATTTAATACATGGAAAGTACTTTGAATGGAGTTCGGCACAGAGTAAGTGCTGTTATAAGTGTTTGCTAATCATGCTTTCGTGGTACACTTTCTTGGTGGTTCTTGCGTCCAATCTGTTCATACTGTGGCATGCCAATCTGCTGTCAAAAAGGGTGAGGTACATGTTCAAGATACATACTTTGAAAAAAAGAAATAAAAGCAGAAGGCGGGTGTGGTCCTAATTATTATGCTAATAAAAGAGCCTTGAAACAATTTAAGGGCTTTCTTTTTGGTAAACATCTGTCTCAGCACTGTAGAGATACACCCCATTTCATCTTCACACCAGGCCTCTGAGGTAGGTAGATATTATTCCTGCTGAACATCTGATGAAGCTGAAGCACAGAGAAGCCAAGTAACATTAGGGCAGTTGGTTTTTTATCGTTCTTAAAGTGGTATATTCCTGATCTCAACAAGGAAATTTACAATATTGTTTTAAGTGAGCTTAAAAGGCTTATTGATAGTAATATCTAGCACTTCAACTGTGAAGTCATGCCTCCACCAGTAATTACTAAATTGTATTAAATTTCTTTACCTCTTTTTCCCCAGTCTGACAGCTGACCATCTAAAAAGTCTAAAACTGTCACTGAGCGAGGTTATTCAAAGTAAAGTAATTGAGAGCGTTCCCTATGAGGGGCCTTGCAAAAATTTATAAGGTGGTTTCTCTGAGTATAGGCATATGTATGTCATCTGTTTGTTAGTAATGGCAAATGTCCAGTCAGTGTTAGTGGCTCTTGGAGAAATTGGGATTGGAAGTGGGGCTGTGGAGAGGCCAGGGGCTTAAACCTTTTATCTAGTATACCTCTATATAGCTTTAAAGTTTTTGCATTATTTCATAATTTAAATAAAATTATTTATTAAATAAATGATGTACATATTCCCCCCAAAGAAGTATGGCAGCTTTTATACATATTTATTTTAGTTTTTTTACTGATATATTTTCCTGTGTGGTGATTTTCTCTAGAAATGGAGCATCTACGGTTGTCACAGCTATATTCGGAGGTATTCTCCAAAATGAGGTTAACTGCCTCATATGTGGGACAGAATCTAGAAAATTTGATCCATTCCTGGGTAAGACATATTTGGCATGTGGTGATATATTGTATTAAAATTTTAATGTTTCCTTTGAAAATTTAAGACAGTACGAGATAATTGTAAGAATACATCAGTTTTTGAAATTCTTTTCTAAGTGTCATACATGCCTTTAACAGCTATTTTCCTATTTCCTTTTAAGACCTTTCATTAGATATTCCAAGTCAGTTCAGAAATAAGCGCTCTAAGAATCAAGAAAATGGACCAGTTTGTTCATTACGAGGTAAAGATACTTTAATGTTGTAGAATTTTTATTCCCTCCGAAATAGCTGAATAGACTCAAACTCCATCCATCTGTGTTTTTTTTTTTTAAAGATTTTATTTATTTATTCATGAGAGACAGAGAGAGGGGCAGAGGGAGTAGCAGGCTCCCAAGCAGCAGGGAGCCTGATGCGGGACTCGATCCCAGGACCCTGGGATCATGACCTGAGCCGAAGGCAGACGCTTAACCATCTGAGCCACCCAGGCACCCTGTGCTATGTTGTTAACTGTTTGAATGAATTTGCATTACTATTTAACATAGTCAAACCTGAATGTCTCTTCCTGTCAGAAAGAAAGAAAAAAAAATTGGTGCCAGAGATATTAAGGCAAGCATAAGATATTTCTCACTTTTAATACTGATTTTAAAATTCAGTGTCTGTAACAAACTGCTTCTGACTTAATGAGATAGAACATTCTGTGGATATCCCACTAGTATCCATAGGAGGAAAGAACACTCAGCTAAGTTTAATAAGTTATGGTGTTACTCTTTTCTATGATTAATAGTTTTAGAAATCTGTTGATGATATATCTGTTGGTTAAGCCTGAGGCTCTACTTTTAATTGAAAACTGAGATTTGGAACAAATTTTTTCCTTGATTAGTGTTAACTACCTTTGTGAAGGCAAAAAGACTGATCTTTGACCAGTCACTAAAGTGAGTAATTGTTCTTGTTGGTCATAAAATGAAACTAGGATAGGAAAAAGAAAGAGGGCCTAGTGTGTGTTCTATCATTAAGTAACTCTACACTGAAGGCAAGTAACGTAATTTCTACCCTGATCTGTCTGTTGACTAAAAGTAATTTTTTCTTCAGCTGTTCCAGAGAATTTTGTCTTAAGGATTTATACACACACACACACACACACACACACACACACACACACACACACACACACA